GACGGTTCCATTTATAGCCTTATTCCATAGACACTGAAAGATTAAAGCCTTTACTAGAAGTCACTAAATAAAACTGGGTCCATTCTTAAAACTACGATGTGAAGCTATACAATAAAATCAGGTCTGCTGTGTGCAAATGTTTACTTGATGGCACATTTTCCTCCATTGCACTAGCAATGCTAAGTAGCAGGTCAGGCTAGCCATTAGCAAATAGTTATGCTGGTAGCTGAAAGCCAAAATTTACCCTTCAAAACCTAGGAAAATCTATAGAGTATCATCGGTCATCCTAATTTTACTGACTACAGAAATGTACTGGGAATATTTGTGCCGGTTAAAACAGTTCTGAACCCTGAAAAGAAAATCTATCAGCATTAATAAGTGTCAATATATGTAAAATCCAATCTTCTGACATAGAACAATTTAATGTGGCTTAAATAACTACTGTCTTTCTGGTTAGAGCTCCATACATAAAATTTAGATCATAATAACTTGTGTGATGAGTTGGCAAAGCAGAGAACAGAAAGTAATAGAGAAATAAGAACCTATGATGCTAGCCATACCAATGGTCCAGAAGAAGAATGTCTTTTTCTGAACTCAGAAGCATGCTTTTGAAATAACTGAAAGTTAGGATTAGGGTTCAGGCACCCAACTTCTTGAAATTTGCTGAAAGATGTGCTGGAGGAACTAGCTTGCAAACCTAGGTTGTAAAAAAAAATTCTGACCTCCATCTAATTAATTAAACAAAAGGATAACTGTAAATGTAATTTTACTTAGTAAAGTATTATTTTAGAAAATATCTTAATTTCTTTTTAGATATGAAAAATGGAAATGTTTAATGATTATTGAACTGTTAGAGAAATTTCTTTGCAAATTCTTCATTTTTGGATTAAACTCAAGTTTCAGTTACTGTTAATCTCACTTGTTTAAGGTCAGTTTTGCTCATAGAGATGATGTGTAAGAGGTATGGGAGAAAAAGGGAACTATACCTCCACCCACAAGTACCAGGATATTGGAGCTAATAGAAATTTGATTTGGATTTTCTATTAACCTGGGAGGAATTGGGAATTGAGTGCCATCATAACCTTCAAACAAAATACTAAATGTTTAATTAAACCAGTGAATAAATTCTCCTGAAGACAAGCTTCTGAAGACTTTGGCTTGATTCAGAGTTGAACTTGCTGAAACTCTACGTTCACCGTACAGCTAACCTAGAGCTCCCTCTCCCTGCATATAGAGTGGCAGCAGAAATGTTAGGTTGGTAGTGGAGCTGCCTGCAAGAACTTCTGAGTTTTCCTGAGGGTGTAACACTGTACTAAACATACAGGAAGGGGAAAAATCTTTGAAAATGTTTAGGAAATATTTGGGGAAACAATTTCATAATTAAATACAGACTTAATGTAACATTTTAAAAAGTGAACAATCAACAGACTGTAAGAGAATAAGTAAGACAGTACAATTGTTGAAAATTGCCAATAAATCTGCCATAATACCAAGGAATAAAGTTAAAATAGCAATCAAATTTATTATACTTGGAAAGCTATAATGATAATCTAACATATATATGATATTTATGATGCAACAAATTAGGGAAATATGTGGGATAGTATTTTAAAATTAGAAATATTTCTGTCTTTCATGACATATCTTCAGTCTTAATGGATCCTAAGATAGTAATGACTGTGTGGAAGAACAGATGAAAAGAAAAAATTTAAAATAATACTTTTTTGATATATTGGGCAACAATATGAAAAAGGAAATCTAAAAAAATAGTTTCTTAAATGATAGTTTGTAGTTTTCAAAGTTCAGCACTCTTTTTTAAGAATTTTTATTTAATTTTTATTTAATTCAATTTAATTTTGTTTTATTTTATTTTATTTTATTTTATGTGTATGTGTATGTGTGTACTGCCTGCATGTAGGTAAGTGCATCCATGTCATGCAATGCCTGTGGAAGATAGAAGAGGCTGTCAGATCCCCTGGAACTGGGGTTACAGACAGTTGTTAGCTACCATGTGGGTGCTGGGATTCAAACCCGAGTCTTCTGCAAGAACAGTCAGTGTTCTTAATTCCTGAGCCATCTCTCCAGCCCCCAAAGTTCAGCACTCTTAAAGTAAAAAAAGAGATTTAACATATCTCACCTAGAAAGAAAATGGAATTAGAATTTCAAAAATTTCTAGCTGAACCTAAGAATGAATGAATGGTTAGAATGCATGAAGATGCAAAGATGTAGTGCCTAAGATATTTATTTTAATAATAGAGGATGCAATCATTTGAGTACACAGATGTGAGTAATTATGTTGCTGAGGTGACTGAAGTGTTTATCTTGAAAGATGAATCTTGGATGTCACCTACCTAAATATGTTACACACGCCTGAATGCAGGGAAGATAGGATCCTGGGGAATAAGACAGATTAAAGAAGGAGGTTAAAGACTCTCTTCAGTGGCAGAATATGAAGAAATAAAATTTTAAAGTACTCCAATCATCTGAGATTTAAAAAAAAAAAAAATGAGATGAATTGGGAAGAGACTCCAGAAGCCCCACATCTAGCTTAGTTGAGGACCTACTTGCAGTTGATAGCTGCTGGGGGAGGGGACGGCATTTTTCATTAGGAGTGTGACCACTGGAAGATGGTTCATGCCCCAAGTAGATGATCCGATGTCCATGCCCATATGGGCAGCACTAATTGAACTCGGTGGATTAAAAAAAATAATTATAAAAAGAAGATATAAATTTTGGGGGAAGATATGATGGGGAGGGGTTCTGGGGGTAGCCTGAAGGGGTGGAATGAGGGGTAGATATGCTCAAGATAAATTGCATACAAATATGAAATTTTACAAGAATAAATTAAAGGAGAAAATGAGATGAAATTAAAACTTAGAGTTTCTGACTTGGGACTCAGCAGTGAGAGCAGGGCTATGAACAGAGGAAATGAAGACGTGCTCTGTGACTTCTACCACCATCCGTGTTGCCACATTAAAGAAGGACTGTATAGCCCAAAGAAAAAGGTCACTACCTGAACACATGTGAAATCACACATTCTTTCTCCTCTTCCTCCAACTCATCACTCAAATAATTATGTCATGTCATAAACTTTCATACCCTTCAATTTCATTAAGTATCTTCCAAAAGGTAAAACTCTTAATGAATGAACTGACAAATATCAGTCAGTATAAAAAAATAATAACCATTCCCTTTATATTTATTTCAATTTAGCCCATCATCCTCCTAGCACTATATTCCAAGCTGATGAAATTTGGGGAAAGGAATTAATGGGAAAGAACTAAATAAAACATTATATAATGTGTGGACGTTAAAGTCACCAAAAAACCCACATCAAGCAGTTTTTACTAAACTTTATAGCACACTGTCTTTACAAAAATATGACCAGAGTATTAGATAAAAACAAATGTATATATTGTATCCATCCTCATATAATAGGGCAATAAACTGGTGCATCATTAAAGTCCTATTATTTCCCTCTTTCTTTAAACACCAGCTATTCTATAGCTGCTGGGATCATTAGATGCAAGATGCTTCTAACAGGATTTTATTGATAAGACTAGTCTTTTTTTTTTCTAGAGATGAACTGTAAAATCTCCATGAATGAAATTATTTAAATACTAAAGAACATTAGTCACTTGGGAAGCAAAGTAGTATCAAGGCCACTGAGGTGTGAGTGATGATTTGGAGAGTAAAGTAGAAAAAAATACTGACATTTACATAAATTTTCATGAAAATGAAATTGAAGAGCAGAATACTTGGGAAAGACTGTCTAAATGAGTACAATCTAGCAAATAAAAAGTAACAATGAAAGAAATAAGAATGTGAATATTCTGTTTTAATGCATTGTCTTGTATTTGGGTGAGTACTTTCACTCACAATTTTTACTTCACCAAAGTAATACAGATAATTTAAAAACATCACTAAATTTAAGTTACTATATCACTGCCCAAAATAAAGCAAAACTCAAAAAGGTGAACCAGGGTCACTGTATCCAATTTTTGGGATAATATTTATCCTAGTTTCTTATTTATAAATATATAAATATGATGCCATTTACAATAAAGATCAAGAGCTCTAGTGTTTGAATCTTTCTTAATCATCAAGCAGAATTACTGTATGATTTGTTTCTAAACAGCACTACAAAAAGCTGACAGACACAGGCTGAAAACAGACTGATCAATGAGTTTAAGGGTAAGACAAGAATAACAATGCTGGTCATAAAAATATTTACATTCATGCAAATGACTGTTTCACAGATAAACTATATTGTAAATGTTTCCCAACACACAACACACAGTGCATACACATACATATATACCTACATATACACACACATACATACACATACACACACACACACACACACACACACACACACACACACACCACACACAAAACAGCAGATTCATTTCAAACTCTGAATTATATCAAGGGAGCATCTTAGTCATAAGTGTACATGTACTACTCCCCATCAACAAAACGTGTTAACATTAAAGTATTTTCACTCCTAGATCTTTAAATATCCAAGATTATCTGGACACCCCTTTGATATTATAGATAGATCTGATTTTTCCCTTACTTGCCTTAACTATGTATTAGGCAGTGTATTTTTATGTCCACAAAACTGATGAAATCCCTTGCTATCTGGGAAAATATGAAACTCTATGAAGCTTAGCACAGTATCTAGCCACATAATTGCCCATTTTCACTGCTTCCAGTGAGGCCTGATATCTCACCAGTTCAGAGCAGTGGCAGATGATTAAGAAAATAAGTTTTTCATTTTCTAATTTCTTTCAGAAAAGATTTCCTGAAAATGCAAGATTAAAAAAAAATCTATGAATAATGGAACACAGTGCTGCTTTCAACCAGGTTTCAAACTCTTATGATATTCCTAGCATGTGGAACAGGGGTCAGAACATGCATATGAAGCAATGCATTTAAGAAACTTCTTAAAGTCTTCAGAAAAGTTATAAATATGAAACATCGTTCCTAACTACCTCTGTTGAGTGATGCTGAGCTGTTTATATCTCCAGTAATGAACGACGACTCTGACTGCTTTCTAACGGTGTCATTCCACATTCTCCGGATCCGGCTCTGAACAGGGAGGCAGAAAAAAGAAACAAAGTTACAAGACAGTGAGTTTTCACAAATTATTCTTTTACTACCTTTCCCAGCTCTATGAGACCTTTGCTTCTAGCATTTGGCAAATAACGTTTCTACATGCTTCATGCATGCAGTACAGTGGCATGACAACACCAGATATAAAATTAACGATGCTATTTGTCATTAGGCATTTGCATAAATGCCTACATCTTAAGCAAAACTATGAAAATGAATACAGGTACAGTCTTCTGTCAATGTAAATATGTTAAAGATTTAGAAACGTATGCTCTGGAATGTTTTAGTTTTCCAAAAGTAAAACAGAATCTTTTAAGAGAACATGGTAAGAAATGACATAGAATATTAAAATGTTACTAAAATTATTATCGTGACTTTTCTTTCTTTCAAGGCGTTAAAAGTAGACAATTGAGCTGCATTCACTGCTTCAAAACAGAAAGTGTTACAGACATGTGGAATTTCTTCCATTATTATTTTATTTCTAAATTCCAATTTCTAAGTGTCAGATCATCCAACAAAGCAACACTGAGGGGGGACTTTTTTTCTCTTTTACTGGGCTTTGTTATTTTATTGGGTTAGAGATAAAAAATATTAATCTCCTGAGGGGGAAACAATGTATTTCCAGATGCTCTTTCAAAACTGAAATAACAAGAAACGTGACTGCTGTTGATAGTGAACCCAAACTCACAAGTTGGTTTTGTTCCAAATATATTTGAATAGTAAGAGTAGATCGTCTTAGAATACTAAATAATTGTTTTATGCCTTGAAATATGTTTAGAAGCATTCAGAAATGTTGGTATATAACCCCTTTATCTAGGTTGGAGTGTAAACACACATACACATGCTCAGACAACAAAACTCATAAGCAACAAGAGTAAAAAATTAGGCTATGTCTTAGAATATAGAGGCAAAAGAGGCAAATAACAGGATCTCCATAAAAAAATAAATAAATAAATAAGTAAAGAGATCCTACTTTACAGAAACAGTAAGAGAGGCCGACCAAAGAACAATTTTTTTTTTTTGAGAAAAGACAATGAAAGTAAGTCAAGAAAATGATAAAACAAAATACAGGAGGTTTTGGTGAGAGACAAGTAGAGGGAGATGTCATATAAGGATGAAGACATGTTGAGCGTGTTCTGTTCCCCAACTTGAATGCTAAGTTGGCAGGTACTTGCTCCATTAATATGCTTTACAATTTCATATATGTTACACACATTATTTTTATTTTTAAAGTACTATATTATAAAAATTAAATGCATGTAAATGTCAATAAAAAAATAATGAATGATAAATAACAGAACCATCACAAGTAGGTCAAAGTGGGGAAAAAAACGAGCTCTGTAGTATTAAATTTTCCTGTACATATTCCCATTATTTTACATTTGTAAGGCCTCCAGTATCATCATTTTTTCAGTGGTTAGTATCAGGAAGTAAGTAAAGAGGACCAGCAGTTTAAAAGGATGCCAATTGTGCCCCTCCAAAATCTATCCAAAATCTATCCAGTTGCTACATGATACTTATTACACATAAATAATATTGTGACTTCTTGTCACTTCTTTTTCTAAGCCATCCCATTGGCTTTCCATAATAATCAAAATAAATTCTAAAGGTACATAGTACTATACAACCTTAGGGATCTCTCTTTTTTTTTCCTGTTAATTCAACTCCCAATCTTTCTCAAAACACTGTACTCTCGAAACCTCTCAAGAACTTCCGTAACATGCTAATTCTCTTGGCCTCAAGGGTCTGATACTCAGTTTTTTCTTTCACCTGGAATTTTTTCCCCTGTAATTCTTTCTCTCATTTGTAAAATTGGTCAAATTTTGGCTGAAATATCAGTCTCAAAAAAACAACCTTTCTCAGTACATGGAATCAACTGGGGACTTTACAGAACTATTTTGCTTCTCGACCAGCTTTCATAATTTGTCTCTCAATACTAGAATGGACGTTCTAGAATAAAAGAGAAGTTAGCTTTTAATCATTTTATCCAAAGAGCTCAGAGGACTGGTGGCATTGCTCAGGAATCAATCACCATTTTGATATAAAAAGTAAAATGCATAGAAACGATTAATTTATGGGTTCTCTCATGTAGAATTTGTATCCGTACACCACAACTTTTTCACTAAGAACAGGTGACTATTTTAACATAGTCTTATGAAAGATAGCTTTTTAACCACACAGACAGGATTTAAGTGCCTATCACTTACATAGTGTTTTATTGTTATAGTTAATAGCAATTAGTTTTATATGAAGTACATGAAAATGATGTAGAATTATAGTATTGTGAACTGTAAACGGGAAGGAAAGCATACATCTGAAATATATGTGATATTCTCCTTTGTAATACTGGCACTAGTTACTTGCAGCAGCTACCAACTTACTGAGCACCTACAATGTGTGTTTTGCATACATTAGCTCAATCATCAGGACAGCCCAAGAAGCAAGAAACACTACTGCCATTAAACAGGGAAAAGCTGATTCACTCAGTTTTAAATCCTGTTCTGGCTATGAGAGGAGGCAAACACCTGTAATCCAAGGTTTTGGGAAACTGGGAAATGAGATCTCAATTTGGGGTCAGACGAGGCTACATAATGAGACCATCTAAAAATAAACAAATAAAATGAAAGAAAAAAGAACAATAACAAAAAACCCTTGTTCAGTATCACAGCTGGTTTATGGAAAGGCCCGGAGTCAAATCATAATATGATCTTTGGTGACGTTTGTCATTATTTTATTGAACTGCTTTGCCTAATCTCATTTTTCAAAAGTACTGATTAACATCACATAAGTCTGTTGTAACTTAATAGCTGAAATTCCCAAGCATTATAATCTCATTGATGATATTTATCAATAAAAGAACTACAGGAAGATAGTAAATGACTTGGTGTGGGAAGACGTCTTCTTTCATAAAACATACAAAAGAGAATTGTGGGAATAACTTTTGCACAAATGCCTTTTACCTAAGCTTGCAATAAAGAATTTCTTACATTTGAGATCATTTAACATGGTTTTAGCTTCTTTATAATGTAAACAAGCTTACTAGGCCTTGTAAGCTAAACATATCACCTAATCCCTCATGACCATTCCTTGCCCTTGACCCAGAATAGTGTGTGTGTGCGCGTGTGTGTGCATGTGCGTGAGTGTGTGTGTGTGTGTGTGTGTGTGTGTGTGTCTGTGGTGTTTATCAAGCAAACTTTGTAAGCAGAAAATATTCATTGGGAGCAATGAGAATTACTCCATTTGTGTGGTAAACAATACGTGGGATTAGAGTGATTATATTTAAATTTTTTATTTATTATTTTATTTCATGTGTATGAATGTATTGCTTGCATGCATGTAAGTTCACCATGTCATGCAATGCCTGCAGAGGTCAGAAGAGGGTACTGGATCCCCTGGAACTGAAATTATGTATGATTTTTAGCTGACATATGGGTGCTGGGAACCAAATCCAGGTCCTCTGCAAGAACAGCCACTCTTAACCACTAAGCCATCTCTTCAGCTCCTGATTACATTTATTTGCTGTTGTATTTGCTATTCTAGGTTGCTAGGAGGAAGAAAAGGAAAATCCTTCTCTGATGAAATAAGGGTCTGCTTTTACTTCCCCATTTCAGGTTGGATATATTTAAAATACTGTTCATAAGAGCAGAATGTTGCTGGAAGCACCGCTCTTATTTGCCCTTTATTTTGTGTTCAAATTCATGGACTACTACAAACCCACAAATCTCTGTGTACCTGAGTGGACACATCTGTCTCTCCTAATTTGCAACTCTGTAAACACATAAAAGTATAAAATTAATATATTAAATTTAGGTTGTTAAGAATTGGAAAATATATTTAAAATAATTTTCATAATTTGTTGTAAGTAAGATATTTAAGAGAGTCTGATACATTTGAAAGTTATAGGATATGTGTTAAGATTTAGTAGGGATTATATTAGATTGGTATTAGGCATCTAGTTTTATTTTTAAGATAAAAGAAAATTGCATTAAGTTTGAGGATAGACTGGGCATGGTGGTACACACTTTGATATCTGTACTTGGGAGGCAGAGGCAGGCAGATCTCTGTGAATTTAAGGCCAGCCTGGTCTACATAGTGAGTTCCAGGCCAGTCAGGAATATATAGTGAGACTTTGTTTTAAAAGAAAAGTCTTGAGGATATAGTTAATGGAAACATGGTTCTTTACTGTTGGCTTATGGGTATTGGTAAATAGGGTAGTTCTGTAGAATCACATAGTTGATATGCTTAAAATAATCAGATGCGTTTCACCAATTAATGAATTTTTAAAGGTATATGAAATTAATTTTTTAAGATATAAATAGAGTTGTTTACGTAAATTTATTAAGCTTTGCAAACAAACCTAGCATGTGGAAGGGCCTGGATTTGACATATAATATATTTTTAAAAGGTAAAACGGAGCTGGAGAGATGGGTCAGCAGTTCAGAGCAGCCGTCTGCTCTTGCACAGATCCTGGGCTTGGTTCCCAGCATCCATTTGGTGGCTAACAACCATCTGTAACTTCAGTCCTAGGGGATCTGTTGCCCTTCTGGCCAGTGTGGGCATTGTGTGGCACATATGCAGTTATACACATGCAGGCAAAACACTCATACACATATTTTTTTTTAATTTAAGGTAGAAAATTTAACTCTTTATTAAGTTTATTTATCAACTTGACTTAAACCTTCCTCAGAATAAATTAAACATGATCATAACTGCTACTAAAACATGTGATTGGGTCTGCTGCTGGACTGAAGGGAACAGCACTTAGACCATTTATGCCAGTGGTTGTGGTAGTTTTGTTTACTGCCCTTAATTCTTCAACTTGTGAACAAATAAAATGGTATGAACTGAAACTTTTTCCTAAACATGTGATTTTTTTTTCAGTATATGATTGAGAACTATTATATGCATTGAATACATGAGACATTTTAGAGTCATATGTATAAAAGATTACTTTCTTTGAATTTCAGATAAGGTGTTCTTTCCCACTCTTGTCATATCCATGCAACTCAAAGCAATCTGATGTCAGTAATAATTATGTGAATGTTAAACTGTATGCTTCATCATTTTTTTAAACAAGTCCTCCCTGTAGCCACAGCTGGCCTGGAACTTGTAATATAGACCAGGCTGGCCTGGATCTTACAAAGATTCACCTGCCTCTGCCTCCCAGTGCTAGGATTAAAGGCATGCTCTACCACACCCAGTTACTCTTCATAATTAAAAAATTATTTTATTTACCTGTTCTTTGAGAATTTCATGAATATAGACATTGTATTTTAATCATTCCCATTCTCACGCCCCATACCAACTTCTCTTAGACTCCATCACATTTCCCCTCCCAACTTCATATCCTCTTCACTTCTTTTGATATCCACTGAGTCCCAATAGTGCTGTCTATATTATACTCCTGGCTACAAGACCATCCACTGGAGCCAGATCCACACCCATGAAGAAAAATGCCTTTCCCTCCCTCATGTCCCCCATCAGCCACCATCTACCAATAATGCTCAGCTAGGGGTGGGGTCTTGGGAACCCCTCCCCCTAGAATGTACAGTTCACATGGTTTTACCATAAGTTGTGTTCCTTCCATTTCTTTCAGAATCATTCCCATGCTAATCAAACAAAAACGGCACCCTTGGTGTGATAAGTACCTGGGATAAGAGTGATCAAAAGGGCATCAACTTAAAATTGACTACAGGAAAGAGTATTTAAATTCAGGAAGCAAATATTATTTACCTGTGAGCCTGTCGAGTATCGTCCAGGAGTTCGAGAACCAGATGTTTTCCCTGAGCCAATGGAACTCTCTGTACTTTTGCCACTACAACAATGTGTGCGCAAGCATTTTCCATACTCTTTTCGTACCTAGCCAATTAAATATTAATTTCTGTTAGCACTTCATTCAGTTCATTAAGGAACTAAGGGTACAAACTGTATGTGAACCTTCATTTTTGGTAATACAATTATTTCCTTGCTCCAAAGAAGCAAGAAAAACTGTTGAGCATCTATTTGGTAATACTTTGATTCCAGCTATCGTGCTTGAAATTCTGTACTACTTGAGTCATTTCAAACACACATATATATCCACATGTCAGCAACATCACAGTAGCTTGCAACTCAAAGAACACATGCTTAAAACTTTCAAGACCCATTTTTAGCTTTATCAGTTTTGCATAAATTGGTAGAAATCTGTGAGAAAGTTAAAAAGAGGTAGAGAAGCAGAGAGAGTTCAAAGGAGAGAGGTAGGAGACTATTTAAAGACAAATAACTGCATTTGGCTAAGCATTTCTTTTAAATCAGTATTTCTTTTTATTTCTCTGAAAGTTCAAATTTGCAAATTTAGAGTACAAAATTCAAAATGTTTTAAATATATTTCCACAAAAGTATTCCAATCAGTAATTATAGAGAAATATATATTTTTTATTACAGCCTTGGAGAATAAGTTCTTAATCTCCATTATAGTATAAAATTATTAGGGGAAAAAGAACATTTTTTAATATGTGCTTGCAAAGTGAAAGTATATAAACCATTTAGGGGCATAATTTTGTCATGTTTAAAAATTCTATTACTGCTAATTTCATTGAACAAGTCAAAAATAAACCACAACTCACTATTAAAACAATACAACAAAGGGACACTTTTTAACTCTGGTTATGCACTGAAACTGTACAAGACAATATGATTATAACATTGTTAGCTCTTTATATATTTTATTTCCACAATTTATGACAGTGTAGCATTCCAATGTAATTTCATTTTAAATATGTGCTTTTTAAAGAAAATTTATTTAGATTCGGAATATATTCTGATTTCTTTATAGCACTACTTTTTAAGGCTTATGTGACAAGAAAAAATATAATGTTAATATTCATTGTCAACTGGATCATATTTAGAGTCATGTAGGAGCCACATCTCTAGATGTGTCTGTGAGTACAATTCAAGAAATGTTTAACTGAGGAGAGAAGACCCACCCTGCATGTACACAGATGTAGACAGTTCCATTCCACAGGCTAAGGACCGGAACTGAATAAAAAAGAGGAAGGGACATAGCATCTGCATTCATCCTTCTCTACTTCCCAACTGCGCACTGTGTGACCATGTGCCTCATGTTCCCACCATCATATATCAAGCATTCCCTGCCACGAATGACTGGATCATTCCAAACTGAGACAAAATAAACCCTTCCTTCTTTAAGTTGCTTTTGTTAGACATTTTATCATAATATTAAAAAAAGGAAACTAATACAAGCATTGATAGAAAGTAGGGATGAAGCTTTAGAGCAGAACCATTGCTTAGCATACTCTCAGCATGCCCACTCCCACATAAAAAACAATAGAGAAATGGTGGGGTGTCACAAAACAAGGAAAAAGAGTTCCTGCTGGGGAGGGGTGGTAGGACCCAAAAAAATCTTCCAAAGATAGTTTGGAATTATTCTGTTTAAGTGATATAGCTGAGACAAGATAAGGGGTAAAAGAGAAGAAGGCATTCTATCTGGAGAGAACAGTTTGGGCAAAACGAAGTTATGATACTCTAGCCTTTAAGGCCTATCTGCGCTGGAATATCAGAATTGCATACATAGGGGCTGGAAGGATGGCTCAGCATTTAAGAGCACTGCTGCTTTTGCAGAGGACTTAGGTTCAGGTTCCAGCATCTACATGAAGTTTAACAACTATCTTACAGTCCAGGTCCAGGGGTCCAATGCCATCTTCTGTGAGCATTGTATGCGTGTGGTGCACTGACATACATACAGGCAAAATACTCATACACAAAAATAAAAATAAATAAATTTTAATTACATATAAATGTATCATATATTATAGAAATATCATACATATATTACACACACACACACACACACACACACACACACACACACACACCCAAGGCCCATGGTTGTACTATGATCAGAAAGCTCTGATCCACATTTCTAACATTAATGTAACAAATGCAGATATTATATATGATCAGTATGACTACTGAATAATCTAATACATTATCTCCTTTGTATCTACAGGAATGTGGGTTGGTGATTTAATTAGACTGGAGAAGGTTTATAACAATATCTAAACAAATGTATCCTGAACTGGCTACAGTTTGGTAATGTGTACTGAATTTGTGAACCATCTTTAAGAACTAGACTTTGATGGCAATGCCTCTTATCCTGCTTTCTTTGAATAGGGTATCTAGCCAATGATAATTTTTCCCTAGGCCAAAGTGGATTTTTTTACATGAATAAATATTTTAGTTCAAAAAGAAAAACAGAAGAGAAAAATTTGGAGCAGCATTCCTCTTCGAGTTATAGAAGGAGTTACACTGGAAAGTCCTAGGAATGTATCCATGAACTATTTGCATTTTGCAACAAAGACTGAATATTCTGAACTGAGTTTATAAACCAGCAGAAATCAAGAGATCTGGTGAAGCCAAGCCCCACATCAGCTACAATACTAATGATTTCATATGCTGATGCTCTTTTGCTGTGATGTGATTGAAATATCTAGCATATACATTAACAAGAAGAAGAACAAAATTACATGGACCAGGTCCATGAAACATTTTTCTTTAGATTACAAGAAAAATTTTTTTTGATTCTTCAGTGATCTGCATATTCTAATCTACTTAGCAAGATATCCCATCTTAATTACCTCAATCAGGTAATGCTATCTTATTTCAGTGGATGGTGTTCTAGAACACAGAAGACAGGAAAGAAAACAAACTTAATACAATTTTTGACCATACTCTAAAATCAGAATTAAGCAATCTTGGCAGCTCTCAGAATATGAGCAAGTGCAAGAGCACAGATGCATTAGTGGCATTCAGTCAGGTGCTGTTTAAATCTTTTAAAGATATTTCAAAGGCAAGTACTTGATTTTTAAAGAGTTTCTATATATTTTCTGATTCTGAGATATTCCCTTGACACTAAATAAAAATACCACCAATCTTTTTTTTAATTGAAAGAATAATGTGTCTATTACCTATTATAAGCATAAAGAGAAGTTTCTCAATCAGAGTCTAGCAAAGATTTTCCCAGAGTGCTCTGTAGTCAATACTATAGTGTGTATTTGTCTCCTGCAAATCTCAATCTGAAATTTACATGCTAATGGCACTGGAGCTAGGGCCTCTGATAAGCAATTAAGATTAGATGAGGGCCTGGGGTTGAAACCCAATGACAGAATCAGGGGGCTTCCTGAACTCTAATGAATACTACATTAAATTTGATACAAATATTTAAAAATCTGACTTATGTTAAATATGAATAACAAACTTCTGGACTTTGTTATGGGTCTTCAGGTGAGAATCTTTTTTGGAATATTAAAAACAATTCCTACTTAATCCTATGTCTTTATGTAAGAAAAGAAAAATAAAAAAAATAAGAAAATTATAATAGGTATTATTAGTCAATAAAAATAGTCAAATTTATATATAAAGTATCAAAAGTAAGTTTTTCTGCTTTGTACACAATTTCTAGGTTAACTTTAAAATTTTAACATTTAAGTCACTTCTTATTTCCCACTAATGTATAAAATAAAGATGACAGGTAAGTGCAATCTTCAATCTACTGTGTGTGAAGATATTATGACTAACTGCTATGGTCCAATGTTTTATTGTTCTTATGGACACTTGCCATCTTTTCTTTAATCTCCTGATTTAACTACCATCCTTCTGTGTATACATCTGTTGAAAATCAGTTGTGACTTTCTTCTTTCCAAATCTACATATCATTCCAGGTACTTAGTCTCTGAGACTTGTGTGTAGTCTGTTATACTATCAGCCATGTCTTCACACGGTCTTCTGTCTTTAGTATGCTGTCTCGATTCTCATTCTTTTCCTCTGACTCCTCTTTCTTTCTACCTTTACATCTACCATTTTCCTTCTCCTCCTCTTTAAACTCATCCAGTGTGGCAGACTACTAGCTGGTGGCCACACTCAATTCCTCTGTCTGCCTTCAGGTACGAAAGCTCATTATGTTTCCCAATGTCCCCTAAGTTTAGTTGGTACCAATTTCAGAGTCCTGTCTGATGGAGAGTGAGTTGAAGTGATACAAGCCACATCCACATGGTTTCTACAAGTTCCTCTCTCTCACTACCTGCTGGATGTCACCACCCGTGATGATTACAAAATCATGTACTGGGGTTGGCTAGGGCTTTATTGGGCTGTCTGCCTTCATGCAGTACCATCTCAAATGAGTCAGTGAGTAACATTAAACATACATTTAGTTGAACTAGTGAAGTTTTTGGAGTATCATCACTTGGGAGAGACTTCATCCATTAGACTAAAACCCATTCATTCTAATAACTGTAATTTAGAGTCAGAGGACTGATTGATCACTATAGCTCTATCCTGTATTTATGGCCATGGCAAAACATTTTAGATACCTGCCACTACCTAAAATTGAAAGACAATATAATTGTTTTATTCTTGTCCATCTTGCTAGGTGGAAATGAATCTTAACCTCTTATTTGGGGTCCCACATTGATTTTAGTCTTAAATCAAATGTCTTAGAGAGAACTTCATTCCTCATTTTTGTTGTTTTCTCAAACAGAATTATAGTCCTATTTCTTTCTGCAATCAAAAAAAATTTTGTCACTTCATTTTCAGAGCCATCTTTTTCAATATTTCATAATTGTTTTCATCACCTCCATGTCACACATAAGGAAACTGGGCTGTGAGGAGGTTAATTACTTGCTCCAAATCAGATAAGCTTTTAAATGGAGGTATTAAGATTCAAACCCAAGCAATTTGGCTAAGGGTCCATGTGATCAGAGCCATAGAGGCATGTTTTTAATAGAGTTAAAAAGTATTAGAATGGAAGAGTCAATCATGTGATTTAAAAAAAAAGGACAAAATATTCAGTTACTGAAATTAGCTTTTAAAATGAATTGTTTTATATTTTTATCAATATGAAAAACCAGAAAATTAGTCTATAATTTGTTTTCTACCTACAAGTTATTTTCTAATACACAATTTCCACTTGCCCCCCAATGGATCTAAGAATAAGTCTGTATAAAAATACTGTTTGAGCAGTGTTTAACCATAAAATGTTTTATGTTTTTACTTAACATTCTCATAAACTATTGTACTGTCATCTTATGTATATTTTCTTATTATTAGTATGAAAAATAAATATAGCAATATGTTTAGTTTTGGAGAAAAACATATCAAGGATACTACATTAGAATATGTTAGGCTTCCTTTACTACCATGAAATATATGCCATTTAATCTTGAAAAGTGAATTCCAGCTTACCTTCTTCTGTAGGACACAATGGAAAATGAATATAAACATTCCCTGCAGAGAATTGAAAATGGTGAAGAGATACGCCATGATGACTGTGCTTTCATTAATATACATGAGTCCAAAGGCCCAGGTCAATCCTAACAGGCAGAGAAGAGCTATTGCACCTATAACCCATGACCTGTGGAGAGAAGAGAAAATTTAGGGTTATCAAATAATTGGACTTGAATTAACACAATCATATATTGATACTGACACTGAAAAACAAAGTTATGGTAAGTTTTATTGACAGAAAATATAAGACAAGTGGTATAAGTACTTCAAGATTTTAATGGGGACTACAAGTTATCAAGCTGGAGGGGGAAACACATGAATGAAAATGTTATGAACAAAGAAATTCATTTAAGCAAAAGCAGATTTGTGCCATAAATTGTTCATGTATTTGTAATACATATGCAAATGGTATGGAGATGTAATTATGGTGAATGGCAGGAAGAAAATTCTTTAAAGTTGCATTAGTCTTCACCAGGCTCTGTTGCATTTGTTCTATTGGACTCACTCCATCAGTGCTTTATCTTGTACATTTGTACCCTAGTTTTCCAAATTTTTTCTGCAAATCTGTTAGAAAAAAGCCTAACCCTTACTGGAAGGAGCCAGTATTTGGAGTAGATGTTAAAAGTTGAGCATCCCTTTATTAATAGTATGCACACTTAGAGCAAGTGTGGGATGCAGTGGATACAAGAAATAGCTCTGCTCTACTAGCAGCTCCCTTTATCTTCTAGGTATGTTGGACTAGGTTTTCAAACCTGGGTATTTAGCATCTTTGCTGAAAGAGGCTTAGGATGGCCTCTCTTAGAAGTGTCTCTGAACTCAGGGATAAAGATGAAGCTGAGAATGGGAATGGAGTGGTATGAATGGAGTATAGAGCAAGAAAGATACATTGTCACTGTTACTCCATTTGCTTAGTTTCCTCCAATCTGCCACTTTTACTAGTAGTAGGAATGCAACAGAAGTTTATGTACTTGTGGCCATGCTATGCATTTACTAGCAACATAAAATGTATTATTCCAATAGATGGGACTCTAGTAACTGGAGATAAATCCTTCTCAACTTGTAAATAGAAAGGAGAACAGGTCCCAAAGCGTCCGAGATCTGTAGCACTCATAAGCCCGCCATTCCTAGCCCAGCATACCTTCCTTGAACACAGTGAACAAACATTTCTTTGCAGCACACTATTATCTTTCATTTCTGATGTCCAAGGAGGAAATATTTGGGGGAGATTCAATCTTTGCAAAGTGAAGAGGGAAATCTACATATGTTCACCGTAGTCTGAAGATGAATTCAATTTTTTAATCTTATTAAATCTTATTAAATCTTATTAAAATGTATTATAGATATTATTTTTCTTCCACACAATCAGGCATTATATTTCATATTTAAATAGCCACTAAATTTAGGTATAATGTAAAACATTGACATTGTTGAATAAAGATTCCCTAAGGGAGGCTTGCTATTGTATTTGGCACATTTGCTTATATGAAGAGTAGCTCTCAGTTTTTATAGATATTAGAAAAAGGGAACATGAAAAGAATACTCATTAAATAAAGACAAAATTGCTACTTTGATTTAGAAATAAAATGATGGCACGAGATACTGAAGTCAGCCATTATCCAGTAGAAAACATAGGATGGATCCAAGGGTTAAATGATCTAGAACTGCAGTGAGCTCTGATTTCCAAAGAAGAAAATAAAGCAAAAGCATGAAGAAGTAAGTGAGATGGGATCGGGGAGATGGAAACAAAGGACTCTTCACCAGAAGAACAAACTGAAAGCCATAGCAAGGCAGCCCAGAGGTTAAAAGTCCATGGCAAGGCAGCCCAGAGGTTGCCAGTCTTAGTATATTTTGCAGGACAGGTAATTTTAAAAATTATACTCAAATACCCAAATAGTGCCATCATCTCTACATTTATTATACTGGTACAGACTTGTAACTTTGTTTCAGAAATTTAAATGTATTCATAAACAATTGGATTATTACAAGATAGGTGACAAGCTTCAAAGGGAACGTTTTGCACATGTAATTTTTTGGAGGGGTTATTTTTCGGTTTTTGGATATATTTAATACAGGATATCATTAATATTGGTTTCAATTGAGTAGTTTCACGCCAATAAAATCGCTTTGACGATACGTGACTAAATCACAAAATAATTTTAGATGATGCTCAAATACACAACAGAAATTCGGACGTTCGCAGCACCGAGGAACAGAAATCTATGCGAGGAGGCTGTTAGTGAGAGACAAGTCTGTACCACAGGAGAGTGCTGTTACGGAGGCACTGAATTCAAGTGATACCCCACTACGGAGGTGAAGAGAATTTTTTTTTCCTTTTCGGCACACCTGCAGCATTCTGCACGTACGCTGTATGCCAGTATATTTTCCTGCACAGTTTGCTCTTCTGCCTCAATGTGAATGACAGAAGCTCTAATGAGTTTTCAGCACTGATCTGACAGCTAGTTCATGGGACCACACTGATAAATGCAATTTATCAGCCATTCAGGTCATTCTTACTTGATGAAGGGTCTGTTATCCTCATAGCTAAAGAATGCATAGACATAAAGACAAGAACACCAACATTAGCATTTTATGACAACGAATTTCATGTGAAAAAAATATCCTGTTTCCTTATTAAAGGCCTTTATTCCCCATCTCACTAAAAGGTATCATAACCTTCTCTTTATGTCCAGAAAGTAAATCCTAAAATGAACATGAGAACTTAAATACCAGGGAATAAAATCAATTTTACAATACTGCAATATCCCATATGAGACTCAGAAATACCATTTTTTCATCATGTGCTCCTATTACTTGTGATTTGACAGAGACATTTATTTCTTAGAGATCACATTTCTCTAGAGAATGAGAAATTTTATGAGCAATCTTGAAAAGCCTTGGGGGCATGCTTAAAATGATAGATGCCATGTCACTAGAAGGTAACCCTTATTCTGTAATATTAGTAGATAAAATTACTTAATTATGGACAATATGCTTCTAAGTAATTTTAACATACAGATGATTGACCTGAGTTAAATCTGAACATTACAGCTCTTCTTGTCAGAGGCAATATATTTTCCTGTATTATGCATATACAAATAATGTTCTCAGAAAGACCCATATGTGATACATTTTTAATAAACAGAACCACTGATAAAAACTCACTCTTGAGAATGATGAGATGGGACAGAATGGAGTGAGAGCATGGTATATGAAGCCAGTTTGCCTGGGGTTCACATCCCAGCTCAACCCCTTACTAGATGATCAATGTTAGACAAGAACTAATTAACCTGTGGTTGTGTCGGTTTCTGCATATACAAAGTGATAATAATTATCAGTACAGTCTAAATGCCTCTTTTTAAAATGTAAGTTCATTGTCTGAGAAATAGCAATTATGCTTTTATTGTTTCTAGACTGTCTAAAACTAAAGTCAAGCTGAAAATACAAACTTTCTCACCCAAAGAAGGAAAAACTCAATACATAAATATTGAGTAGTTACATGCATTTGAGTCTGTTTCAAGAGTAACATGATTCAGTAAAAGAGATGTGGCTGAAATAAATCAGTAGATGGAGTAGGAAGTGAATACAATTGTGTATTCAGTGTGGTGATTACTAGTCATAGCTAGTAATTCAAAATTCATTAAAACAGAATAAAGTTTAAATTCTATTTTAAGTGACAGCCAGTCACATTGCAAATATTTCCTCAGATACCTCACTTAGGTGGTATGAGATTAGATGATTATAGTTCTAGATTATTTCCATCATCACTGAAAAATTCTATTGGATAATGCTGAACTAGGACAGTTTGAAGACACTTTAGGTCAATAAATATAATTAAAATAGACATTCAAATGATTCCATTAGTTTGTGAAAGATAGAAGAATTGGTTACTTTTGTCATAAAAATACACACATAAAATTATGTACTTGTTATACGTTATAGAACATTATGGTAATATTTATTGTCATGTTCAATTCCATTGCATCAGTATCTATCTATGATGACAAGTGATTATTAGAAAGAAAAATTTCTTACACTAATTTGTGTAGTACAGTGACAGAGAGCTGCAGAGGTTATCGCATAGAAATACAGACCAAAGTGGCTTACAAAACTGTATCAAGGAATACAAATATTTAACAAATTAATACATACAACTTGCACTATAATTTCTGAAGTGATATATATATATATATATTTGTCTTCAGTAAGAAATGTCAAAAGAGAGAAATCAAGGCACAACTCAGCAATTTCTACTGCAATATGTGGACCAGTCTGCCAGGAGAGGTCTGTTAAATCCGGCTTCACTTAAGAGTCACTGCTGATATATGCTGAATGGTGTTCACTGGGATGTGAATGGAAGTGACTGTGAACCATTTCTAGATACCTCCACCATGTGCCCTTCCTTTTGACTGGGAGAGGCAACAGAGCATCAGAGGCTAAAAGGGAAGCTGTCTTGCAATGCTGAACTGATGTGTTAGAGTCAGGTCACCCACCCCTAGTCTCTCCTACAAAACAGTTTAAACCACTGTATTCTAGAGCATCTTTTTCATAGTGGCTTACTTTGTAAAATAATGAACAAATATAATTTTATCTACTAGAATTCTACTTCTAGACAAAATTATTCATTAATTTTGCCGTCAATGGGATATAATTAATACACAATGATTTAAAACCTAAAGATCACTGTAGACCACCTTTGTCAGTAAACGCCATCATTTTTTTTTACCAGATATTGCCTTAAAATGGAGAATTTAAGTGAATTATCTGTCTCCATCAATCCCAAACTAAACTTAGTGATGTCATTGGTTATCATGACAAAGCAATATACTTTTGATTTATTTACATTTTAAAAGCAGATATATAGAAAAAGTTTGTAACTGAGTAATTTTCACCCTGGTTTTCTTACATCGATAAATGAAAGTCAGTTTAAACAAAGTCCCACTGTAGGTTGTACAACTAAACAACCCCTTCACTGCAATTTTTTTAAGTTTCTATGGCATTGTGGATATGCATGCTTCAAATACCTCGGTGGAGATTAACAGGGCTTTACAGATTATCTTTTGATTTATATGTTCATTTTTTAAAGTAAAATAAAACATACATATATATTTAAAGGAAAATCAGAAAAAAAGGACAGCCTTTTTTTCCAAAAGCTTACTTGTCATTGGTCAAGTATATTATTTTGTTCTTATTAATATCTAAAATATAAATACTATCATAAAATTTGTCTTAAAGTCAACATTAGAATCAAAATCAAAATATATAGATGTCTCTGCATAGATTGATAATCATGTATATAATTTAAAAATTCCAAGCCACACTGAAAAGCTATTAAAATAGAGCTTCTTGGCAACTTAGCTAAAGGTACATTTACAAGATAGGATTCTTAACTAAAACATTCACTTATAAACTAATAAGATGATATAATAAGTCATAGTATCAATATAGACAGATGGTGAACGGACAGACACAATTTTAAATGACTAGTTGTAAGTCTTTCTATGACTTCAGGAGATATTGGGCTAAAGAGACTTATTTGGATAGTTATTTTGGAAATAAATTGTATTTAAGAAGAAAGATATAAAGGTAGTTATTTAAAGAGTTGAAAATACAACTTTCTGTTACGTTTTCTTTGGGGAAATATCTATGTATATTTGGATAGGACCAAATATCTTTAAAAAGTGTGATGGGTAAGGTTAGATGTGAAGAAAGGTGGAATGATGAGATGTGTGCTTGAGAGATTAATTCTCAGCTCCAAAGATGTGGTCACTGGTAAGTTATAGTAAATAACACAGAAGGAATGAAGTCAGCCAAACTCTTAATCCAATCAGCTCCAAGGTCAGTACATTTTGGAATGCACTAAATCTCTGGTTAGCTGTTGTGCATTGGTGAATGAAGTGTGTCTAACAGTGAGAGAGCTATTTGGTCCTGGCTAGTCTTCCAACAGTTCCAGATTCACAATGCAATAGATTTTCTTTCCCTGTAAATGATTAACTCAAACAAAAAAACACCAACTTCTTATCTCTTAAAACATTATCATTGAAATCTACCTGATGACTTTATATCCATGGTCAGATGCCAAGGAGCTCAGAAAGTAACTGACTGTGACTAGTAAATAAACTGATATATAGAGATTAGAAACCCATGTGCAAACATCTTAATGCCAATTGCATTAAAAATGAATTTTTCTGTATGAAACTCTGTATTTTAATGATGAAATGAAGATCTTTTTTAAAGGTTAAAACCTCATTTAATTTTATGTCATATAGGGTTTATACTGAGCAGAATATTGTATAACTGTAATAATTCAACTGTAAACCTAAAAATGTACAGCCAATTTTGAAAGAGATGCATCCTAGCTCAGAAAATTGTTATTGAATATGTCAATGCTGATGTAATGAAATTCTTCTTCTAAGTATGTGGTTATTAAGTAAATAATTAAAAAAAATTTTTTGAGTGACTATTAGGTGACTGTTATATAAGAGTAAGTAAGGTAAGTCAGTTTCTCAAATTGAAGGTATTTCATACGCTTCATAGGAGGAAAATAGAGCTAGCAAGTTCTAAAGCATCTGCATGTGGAGAAAGCTTTTGCCATTGCCTCTCAATCACCAGTGAGGTCTCCAACTGGTCATTAAAGAGATTCAGTCTCCCCTACACCAGAAGAAGCCAGCAGCAAAGTGAGTGAAAGAAAGTACTCCCTGGACAGAGAGATGGATCATGAGTCTTTGCCATACAAGCTCAATGACCTGAATTCAATCCCCAGAACACACATAAAGATGGAAGAAAACCAATTCCACAAAGATGACCTCTGACCTCCACATGCCTGCAGAGATGTGCCCTCCCCCACTAACAGTAAATAAAATAGTTTTTAAAAGAAAGGAAAAAAAAAAAAAAGCGTGCAAGCAATCATGTACACAGTGCTCACTTTAGTGACCTCAGAAGCACAGCTTTACCAACCCTGGCATTCTCAATCTGTAAAGCTACAAGGGTCACATGAAGCCATTTTAGGATTGCAATGGTCACAGGGTAGATGAAGAAGCATTAACAAAGAAAAGAAACTCTTCCTCAACTAATCCCCTGGTCACAAATCTTAGTAGACAATGAAGGAAAATATATTTTAAATGGGCTGTTATTCAAGTTTTTATTTTTATTATTATTATTAATTTGCTCTTATTGAATTTTGTGTATTTCAAAATACACAAATTGTTTGAATATCTCAAACAATCTTAATCGTCTTCATACCCCCATTCCCTCCAGAACCCTGCCATAGAAAAATGAGAATAGACCGCCAACATTGCAATATGTATCTAAGATAATATTAAGCTGCCTGCTCTCCATTAGGGATATTAAAGATAACATTCTAGAAAAGAAATGATCAAAGAGAAATGAAAACCTTTGCACTACTATAGTGCCGAAATGCTTGATCAATTGGTTAACTATTATAGAATTTCTAGTTGCTTTATATTTCTTTCAAATGTATTTTATATTAGCAAGATAGTTCCACCTTGATTTATGCTACTATAGTCAACTAAAAGGAAAAGATA